TTCCTTTCTGTAGTAAAGCAGATAGAATTGAGCTTTTGTGTTTCATTTGGTACCTAACTAACTTATCCTTCTTCCCCTCCCTCCCTTGCTTCCCACAGGGCCTCACTTTGTAGCCTGGGGTGCCCTTGAGCTCCTTGTCTTCTGACTCAGCTTTCAAAGTGCTGAGGTCATAGGTGTACACCCCAGACCAGGTCCATTCGTTATCTTTCCTCTCTTTTATAAAAACTCTACATTTATTTCCTTTCTTCGGGGTGAAAAAGTGTAATTGTGACTTTAATTTTATCTGGGAAAAGATTATAGGCTTTAAAACTTCGTAAATAATTTTCAAATTAAATGTTGCCCATTTCTCAGCCCCATATCCGAGACTTTACCAAGAACAGCAATAGTGAAATCTTAAAAGTAAACTACTTGTCTAAAGACAGAAAAGTCTGAGTTAGAACTACAGGGAAACACTAGTGTTTGACTCTCCGTTATATTCATACACAAGCCTTAAAACTGGAACAGATATTTTATGCCTGTGATATTGCATAACAGTAAAAGTGATAGACTAACCGCTCCATGAGAGAGAACATTTGGGGGCGTGATGGCCCTTTGAATAATGACTTTGCCACATGGGAATGGGACAGACAGGCCTGCAGATGCACTTGATCTCTTGGCCATTATTCAGTTGAGTGAGGCTTTTAAGCACCTCAGCCATACTGAACAGTTGAGTCCCTCTCCCTAGAGTTTCCGGTTGCTGCTGCTTTAAATTTTTACTTACTGGTTTTTCTTCTTCTTTTATTTTTTATTTTTCATATTGTAGCTTCATCTAGAAACTTTGGTGGGATTAGAAATGTAATTATTTGGATATTAAAGGGTTGCTTTAGAAATTTGACTATCATTAGGAAGAAGGTTTTAAAGACTGGAATTCCATTGTCTTACAAGAAGTAAGAAATATTTATTGATTCCCAAATGGGGCTGAAGAAACTTTTCCTCTTTAGAAGGCTTTGAATGACTCAGCGAGAGCTCTGGTGAGCTTGACTGAACCAAGCTGCTAATAGTTATTTAATGTTATTCGTCAGTGTGAAAGAATCGCTGTAGATTTTCCTTTTAATCTCTTTGAATTGCAGGCTCATAAACCTCTCTGACGAGCCCTGCCAGTGTTGTCTTGGATCCCACTGTTGAGACAATGGGGCCACAGAATTCTTTCACCTCTTGTTGTCAGACAAACGCAATAGAACACAAGGTCAGAAGGGCCCATACTTCTAAAGATTGAAAGATCCTTTCTCAAGTAACCACATAAATTATTTGATTTTATCATTATATTCCTCAGGAACCTCACTCTAACTATTAATGCCCTGCTTTTGATACATAAAAGTAAAATTGGAAGGTGGGGGGTTGGGGATTCTCTTGTCTCATTTGGCTAAGCTTGTCAGTATGACACAGAGTGTGAACAGACTTTAATATTCCTCGATATTCAAAGAGTTGAACCCGCTTCCTAATAAAGAATCAAATTGTGTAGTCACTGCACTGGAGATAGGGCGAGCTCAGCAAAGCCAGCAGTGCGTTCTTTACAAATGGCTGCGGGTCGCTTTGTCCTCTGTAGGCTTTGTTTCCTCTGTTTTTGTTGTTGTTTTGTTATGTTTAATTTTTCCAAATATTTATTGCCATTGTATAGAAAAAAAAGATTCAATTTTAAAATCTCCTGGATTTTAAAGTCAGTTTCTTTTCTCAATTTTAGTAGTGTCTCCTTCCACAGGAGAACTTTGAGGTGGGATTTGCATTTCTAGATCTGCCTACTAAACTATGTTAATGCAACCAACAAAATTGTGTGTGTGTGTGTGTGAGAGAGAGAGAGAGAGAGAGAGAGAGAGAGAGAGAGAGAGAGAGAGAGAGAGAGAGAGAGAGAGAGAGACTACAAAAGAAAACAAGCATATCTGTTTTGAAGGTGCCATGCCTGATTACTACAGAATTATCAAAGTTGCTTTGCTTTCAGGGCTCCTGTAAGTGACTTTAGTACATAGGGAAGAGTTGAGATTTTTTAATTATAACCACAATGGTGGACAAGCAGAGATCATTGTTTAAAAAGAAAGAAACACACACTGATTTGTTTGTACTCCTTCCTTATAATTGTATGGGGGTTGGGTGGAATTTGCTGTTGTCCTGTCCTTGGACACCTGCCTCTTAACAAAGGATGGTGGTCACCCCCCACTGCCCACATTTAGATTCACCTTTTGCTTTTCCTGTACTAGGTCTGCTCATTATACAGTTCTCCAGGGATCCAATTTTCCCCTGAGTTAATCACCCAAGCCTTTTCAGAAGTTGTTAGATTATTGTCTTTTCAAAGGACAATGACTTTTCCTTAAAAAAAAAACAAAAAACAAAAAAACTTGTCATTTTTAGTTTTAAAACTGGGACCACTAGAATTTCATATATACTGCCTTTAAAACTTTTTGTTGAAATGTAAGATGTGTACATACAGAGAGGTGCAGAAATCTGCATGTCGCTTGATAGATTTCTCTCCATAAGCACACCAATTTAATAGGAAGCCCCCGAGACTTGCCCTTTAACAGTGTAGGAAAGTTTTCCATACTTGTTTATGTCACATAATGATTTTTAAAACCACGCTCAGATTTTCGTGCACACAGTATTGTTTACAAAATAATCAACATCTCCATGTTTCCATAGCCACAGAACTCCAACATATTCCTTTCAACTCTGATCTTTGACAAAAAATTAACCATTTTTGTGTTCTCTTTTCCCCATGGGATGGGCTATGCTTTAACCAAGATTAGCTACTCTAAAGGCCCTGTGCATAAGGATACAGAGGAAGAGAAAAATAAGGAAATGTGGGTGCAGTGATAGAGGGGCGCACAAAATAGTACCTAAAAGAGAGTTGCTGCTGCTTCCCAGTAGAAAAGCAGAACAATAAATACCCATGCTGACTTGCTTGGCAGTTATATTTGCAAGATATTTCTCATTTATTATTTATTTTAAATATAATGTCAGCATGGGTATTTATAAATGTTTATCCTTTTAACACATTCTATTCTGGGTATCCAAGATAGGTCACGCTAGGAAAGCTGATTCCCGCTGTCTGCTCTGCTTCAGTTGGGTGCAGAGAATAGAGAAATACAAGATATCCTAGTAATGTAGTTGCAAGTTGCTGATGCCTGTTTGTTCTCCAAATAGATGACTCTTCTGAGTAAGAGATTAAAATGTAAGATTTTTTTCCACCTCTGAGACTTTCAAACTCAATTATATATATTAGGAAGACATATCTATCTATCTATCTATCTATCTATCTATCTATCTATCCATCCATCCATCCATCCATCCATCCATCCATCCATCCATCCACCCACCCACCCACCCACCCACCCACCCACCTGCCTACCTATGGAAGAGCCAAGTGTTGTAGCACATACCTTCAATCCCAGAACTCAAGGAGGCAGTGAGCTTGAGGCCAGCCTGATCTAAATAGTGAGTTCCAAGATAGCAAGGGCTATGTAGAGAGACTCTGTCTCAAAAGAGGGTGGGGGGAGACAAGTCAGGCAGGCATGGCTCCTGCCTGTAATCCCAGCATTCAGGAGTCAGAAAGACTGCCATGAATTCAAGGCAAGCATGAGCTACACATAGTACATTCAAGTATAGCCTGGACTATAAAAGTAAGACCTGGTCTTTTAATGGAGTAGGGGGAGAGGGAGGAAGAAGCCAGAACAGATAGACAAATATACTTTGTATTGAATGTAGAAAATAAATTGTTTTATTAGGAACTACTTAGCATACTGTAAATTATTTATAAGCTATTCAGTGGGCATAGATAGATGGAATTGCTATCTCCTCTACAAGAGAAAGTCTGTCTGGATTTTAGGAACAATTTAATAGACTGTTGGTATCCAGTAAATATGATGTAGTATATTTGACATACTTTAATAGAAAACTATGGTGCACGCCTTTAATCCCAGTACTCGGGGGCAGAGGCAGGCTTGGTCTACAAGAGCTAGTTCTAGGACAGGCTCCAAAGCAACACAAGGAGACCCTGCCTCAAAAAAAAAAAAAAAAAAAAAACAACTATGGATATTGTATAATCTTTTTATCTATTTTTAAATTGTGTAACTCACCAATAAATTCTGAGCAGGCAGTTATTAAATATAATGAAGTTGCAGGCACACACACGACAGAACAAAGGGACACATTCTCAGTAAGTGAACAAGAGACTAGGGAGACAGCTCAAGAAATTTTCATTGGAGTTGGGAGGGTGCTGAATTTTAGTAATGCCTTCCCCTTTTGTTTTCCTTTTTAAAGCATTAACTTCTAAAAGAACAATACACAGGGGAATTATACAATGCCTTTGAAAACAGGAATGAGAGTTTCCCATCTGTAGTTGCTTTCTTTGCTCAAAATCTACATGTTTTAAGTGAGATGTCATGCTTCTACTGTCCAGACCATACTCTTACTATATTTAGATGAATTCATGGCTTAGACCCTCTATATGTAGAGGAAATCTTTGGCTCAGGAAACAGCAAAAGATGCACAGAATCCCACAGTTATGGTGGCATTACCAAAGTAATAAAGTCCCCCTCCATTTAGTTCCCTATTATTCTTCTGCAATCAGATGGCCAACAGTCCTGTGTTTTTGTAGCGCTCTGCTCTTTACAGCACCTCTGGCCTAATCCCACTGATTTAAATATACTCATTTAGTCTGCTTGAGCTGCCACAGCACAACAGTGTGGACTGAGTGGCTGAGCAGAACTTATTTCTCATGGCTCTGGAGGCTGAGACGTTCAAGATCAAGTTCTGCTCCTTATGAGGGCTGCTCTTCTGGCTTGTTGCTTTTCTTTATATGGACTTTGTTCTGTACCTGGTTGACCATGGGCTGAACTCTCTCTGCCTCTGTGCTGATGTAAAAAGCAGTAAGCTAGTTTGAAAACAGTTCATAATTTGGGTTTGCATGGCCATGCTGGAGATGCATTGTCAGCATTCCTCATTATTAAATTGTTTCATTTTGTATTCTCCAGAAGCTGAGCTACGAAGTATGGGGCCAGTAGATGCACAGGTGTACCTTGAAGAAATGTCCTGGAACAAAGGTGGGATTTGATTTGATTTTGTCATATCTACACTGAAGAGAAATGTTAGGATTTAAAAATATATATGTAGGAAAAAAATCAGGATATTTGGAAGTCTTAAATAACAGTTTTTAGCAGGGGGTGGTGGCACACACCTTTAATCCCAGCACTCCAGAGGCAGAGGCAGGCAGATCTCTGTGAATTTGGTCTACAGAGAGAGTTCTAGGACAGCCTCTAAAGCCATAGAGAAACCCTGCCTCAAACCCCCCGAAAACAAAAATAAACAAAAAATAAATAACAGCTTTATCTTTCCATATATCTTTTTGTTTGGCCTGATTTTTATCAACTTTGCTTATTGAGATACCATATGACTCATTTCTCATTATTTTCTATTCCAATTAAATATATAAGCATTTTCATTTTTTTACTGTTTTGATTTTTGCATTATTATCTGTGTAATAAGGTTAAAGAAAAGATTAGAGAATGATAATATTCTTTGTGCTGACAATTAAAGTAAGTTCCTGTCAGCTATTTTCAAGCCTCTCTTAAAATAATATTCCTAGAGGTTCCTAAGAGAGACATACATGGACCCCTGAGAAGGGTGGGGGTAGGAGAAGGAAGGAGGAGAAAGGGGGGAGGAGAACATGAGGGATCAGGAAGGTCGAGTTGGGGGAAGAACAGTCGAGAGCAAGGAAAGAGATACCTTAATAGAGGGAACCATTATGGGCTTAAGGAGAAATCTGGCACTAGGGAAATCTCCAGGGATCCACAAGGATGATCCCTTCTAATAATCTAAACAGCAGTGGAGAGGCTACCTTAAAAGCCCTTCCCCTATAATGAAGTTGATAACTACCTTAAATACCATCCTAGAGCCTTCATCCAGTATCTGATGTAAGCAGAAGCAGAGATTCACAGCTAAGAATTGAGATAAACTCCTGGAATCCAGTTGTAGAGAGGGAGGAGTGATGAGCAAAGGGGTCAAGACCATGCTGGGAAAACCCACAAAACTAGCTGACCTGAACAAGTGGGAACTCACTGACTCCAGTCTGACAGCTGCGGGACCAGCATAAGACCCAACCAGGCTGCCTCAATGTGGGTGTCACTATGGGGCCTCTGGCAGTGGAATCAGTATTCCTAGTCCATGAATGGGCTTTTTGAGCCCATTCCCTATGAAGGGATACTCTCTCAGCCTATCTATATACATAGGGGAGGGCCTAGGTCCTGCCTCAAATGATATGTCAGACTTTGATAATCCCCCATGGGAGGTTGGTGGGGGGGGGATGGGAGGACTGGAGGGAGAGGGAACTGGGATTGGTTTGTAAAATTAAATTGTTTTTAATTTAAATAAAAATTAATTTAAAAATAATCTTGCTAGTAAAAGAGTCTGCAGAACACAAGCCAAGTCCAATGAATCAATAAGAAACATACATAGTTAATGTTATATAGCTCAGCCCGTGACTGTAGCACATTACTGCAGTGTTTAGCTAACATGCATGAGACCCTTGATTAATCCCCATTACTGCCAAAAGGAGAAGGGGGAGGATTAATATATAGAATATCTTTGGTGCTCATTTAAATTAAGTTATAAAGTTGGAAATTATCCTTATCTTCTCGAGAAAAATGAGCAATATCTGCAAGAAGTCTAGATTTTGACAGGAGCATTAAAAACTAATGTAAGTTTTAAACTAGCTGTTTATGGTTAGAAAAAAGTTAGCATTTGAAGCGAATAAAAGGACTATCAAGAGGACAGTTATACTGTGTGACCTTCTTCAGTGTCATTTTCACAATGGCCTTGGGTGATGAAGATCCAAAAAAGGAGAAGTTGTGAACATGCATGTGAAAGACATGCCCAATAGTGCATTTTATTGTGCTGAAAAAATGTCCCTGGAAACACTGGGGCATTGAAGCGAAGCTTTGCCTTGGTCATTTTGATGACTTCACTGAAATAGCTTATATAAAAATACTGCTTTAAGACCTCAGTGAAGATAAGAAATTTCAACAAGATGTGAAGATGAAGTATCCATGACAAAACTTCAAGGAACTGCCGGGCAGTGGTGGTGCCCTTGAACTCAGAGATCCACTTGCCTTTGCCTCCCAAGTGCTGGGATTAAAGGCATGCACCACTATGACTGGCTGATATTTACATTTCTAAATTTGAAATGAAATTGGGTTTTTTTTTTTTGGTTTACAGAGAAAACCCACATTGTGATAAAGAGTAAAAAACAAGAACAGATTTATGTTTTCCTTTTTGAGAAGGCAGCACATAAGTTGGCTTAATTACCCATTTTTCCAAGACTGCATTTTCTCAGAGCAAGCACAAAGCAGCTGGATTGCATATCAGCCTCTCCCTCGCTCCTCCTGCACAGAATGAGTTCTAACTGTAGTGGACTTTGAGAGTCAGCTATAGGGTCCTGTGCCCACTGGACACCACTTGTCCCTGTAAGTTATGAGTGCAGTAAAAAGGATGATGACCTGAGTTCTGATGACGGATACTTGCCAGAGACAGTAAACTAGAAGAGCAGTGGTATCAGAGGGTTTTATTCAAAACACAGTAGCATCTAAACTTACCATCTCCACCATTACTAGCAGGTGTGTGGGTACATGCTCACAATTATGGCACTCAAAGGCTGTCAGGATCACTAGAGTTCAAGACCATCCTATGCTACATAGCCTAACTCTGGCTTTACAAATAAAATTTAAGGAGCTGGCAATATGGCTCAATGAATAAAGGAACTTGTGGTCAAGCTGACAACATGAGTTGGATTCACAGAAGCCACATGGTAGAAAGGGAGAACTGGCTCCCACAAGGTGTTCTCTGACCTCCACACTCATGCCATGCCATATGTATATGAGTGTACACACACACACGAATATGTAATACATTTTATTTTTCTTGAAAGATTTATTTATTTATTACATATACAGTGTTCTGCCAGAAGAGGGCACCAGATTGACTTGTAGATGGTTGTCAGCCACCATGTGGTTGCTGGGAATTGAACTCAGGACCTCTGGATGAGAAGTCAGTGCTCTTAACCTCTGAGCCACTTCTCCAGCCTGTAATACATTTTAAAAGTACAAAGTAAAATTTAAAAATCCCATTATCAGTTGTACTTTTTGCATGTGATTTTCCTATAGTACTTAACATGTTAAATACAAAGCAACAGATATATAACTCATGGGAAAAAACAAGCAAAAGCATTGTGTTGTATTTGAGTCACAGGATTGCAGAATGGCATGGACAACTGTGTTAGTCACCTTCTCTAGGAGAGACTTCAGCAAATGCCATGCTCTTTTTTATCCCCATTAACATCTTGAATGCATTGCTGAGAAGACTATAAAATTTGCAGGATTCTTAAACTAAAAATTTCAAATTTCAATGATTACTCAGCAACCTTTGCTCTACCCTATCTGTGAATACTGAATATAGTCAGTAAACCAGTCAATTGCCACTACCAATAGAGACTGTTCAGTAGGTAAGTTTAGAAATGCTGTTCCCATGCCAGTGGATCTTTCCAGCTCCCTTTTAAACTCATTTCTATCTGTCCCTGGCTTCTTTGTTTCATTTTATAGTTTCTCTGGAACCTGTTTTATATTTTGAATGGTTTTCAAAGTAGGTGAGGCATTATTTTTGTTTTCTTTGCAGATGATGAGTCTTTCTTTCTGACTTGCCGATGTGGTGGAAAATATACTGTCTCCAAGGATGAAGTAGAAGAAGTGAACCTGGTTTCCTGTGATACGTGCTCACTGATTCTAGAACTCCTTCATCAGCGCTGAACTGTGCATTACTGGGATCCTTTAACTACAGTCAGCATGGTCCAGAGGCCACTCGGTTTCAAGGAGACAGATGCTTTCTTCCTAGCTGTATAATTTACAAACATAAGATCGTCAAGAAAATACTACTTCAGATTAACAAATTAAGGATATTACGAAAAGGATTTCTGGATTTTCATCTGACAACTTTTGTTTTCTCCTTGGTACAAGAAGTATTTCTTATTTTTATATAGTTGACAGTTTTTAAAGTTTATTCTTTATAGTTACTAAGGTTTTTGTTTTAATCTGTAGTGTGTCGGGGGCACAGGACAATAACTGAGACTCTGAGGAGTTGATTTTTCTCTTCTTCCCCCATTGGGTCCCAGGGGTCAAATTTAGGTCCTCATGCTTGTGTAAGTGTCTTTACTTGCTGAACCATCTTGCTGTCCCTAATTATGAAGTTGATGTAAAAGATGATGTTTTTAGTTACTAAAGGCATATGCCTATTGCACACCTGTTTCAAATTCTCAGGCACTTGAATAAGATTAGGATTTTGTGAACAAAGTGTGAGCCTGGCTCTGCCATAAACAAGGCTGCATATAGATGGCTACAGATGTATTTCCAAGCTGCACAAGAGGACCACGTGTTAGGAAATGTGACTCTAGTCCTGACCCTAGATGTCTGAAGCTTGTTAGCAGCTTAACTTCAGATGTAATTTAGGAAGAGAAAATTAAACTTGAAATTCAGATTTTCCTTTTTTTTTTTTTTTCCCCCGAGACAGGGTTTCTCTGTATTGTTTTGGAGACTGTCCTGGAACTCACTCTATAGACCAGGCTGGCCTCGAACTCACAAAAATCCGCCTGCCTCTGCCTCCTGAGTACTGAGATTAAAGGCATGTGCCACCAACGCCTGGCTCAGATTTTACGTTTTATTTAATTGCCTCCCTTTACTAAGGAGCCATTCATTTTATTATGGTGTGGTGAAGTTGCTCTTATAATGAAAGACTACTGACTACAAAAGACCGTACACATCATACACCGCATGACCTCTTTGTATGTAACATTTTGTTTACAGTGTAGGCCAGGGACTCTATGGAGCACCTCTAATCTATGTCTAACTGTTGCTGTTGTCGGAAGAGCACAAACTAGGAATGCTTAGTTCCAGCCTTTTGTGAGGATGGACAGCTGCTACCTGAGACACACTTGAGAACAAACTGCTTTCATTATAAGGCACCACCAAAATTCAGATGTAACACAGTCATCGAGATTTCTCTTCCAAAATATTTTTATATATAAAATTTAGAAAGAAAACTTGTTTGGAATTTTTATCCAAATACTTTTAATTAATGTATATTGCAGAATGTGATGTTTATGCTTAAATTTAATTAGAAACAAATAAAATTGAGTAGCAAATAGTTTATTGATAAATTCATGGTTTCAACCGCAGTAATAAATTCATATGAATAGAAGACAATAATCAAGTCAAAAAAGTAAATGCTTGCTAATCATCAGAAAATCTGTGGCCATTTGGGCTGTCACGCAGAAATCCAAAATCCCGGAAAGGCCAAATCTGCAAAATGAAAATACAATTGATGGCAATTAATGAAAATTCTTTATCATCATGACATTTTATGTATCAGGACATTTTCTTTTCCTGTTCTCTCTGTTAGATAATACAGTGCATTCTCTTTATCAATTACTCTGAAAATAAACTTGTGTATGTAGCCTGGGACATTCAAATATGATACCAGAAAATATGTTTGTTTAATATATCTATATATGTTTGTGAAAACCTGTCTTCATTTACATACCAATCTATGGTACTTGATACTTTAAGTTGCTTAAATATGGCATCTGTTGAACAGTATACAGTTGCCCTTAAGTACTTTTTCTTCTTAAGCCTTTTGATAAAAGGGAAGCAGGTGTGGTGACGCACACCTGTAATCCACACGTATGAGACAGAGACAGGAGGGTGGAGAATTTAAGGCCAGCCGGGACTACAGAATGAGGCTCTGTTTCAAAACAAAATTATATCAACCAATAAAAATGACAATGTCATCCAAGGCTTGAACATTCACTACAGCCATATGCCCACGATTCGCTAGCTGTATCTGATTGGATTCGCCTGCATTCCAAGTAGAAGTGCTTGCTACAGTGCCAGGATATGACTATGACTATAAAAGAGACACATAGCAGAATATGATTTCTATAAACTCATAGGCTCCCTAAGCTACTACTGGTTTAGTTTGAATTTTATTATAAAAACTTCTCTTATTCCCCATAAGAGCAGGGACTGGAGGGGATAATTTTTTGTCTTTGGCTCCTAAGTAAAGGTAAAATGTTCATCAAATGCCGTCACTGTACCAATTAAGTCAACTTGGCAACCCATGGGTTTCAAAATTCAATTTGAGAACCATCTCCCAACTCAGAGAAAAAGCTGGCATTTTAGGCATTAAAGCATACCTTAAAGAAGATCCGCCCTCGTATTAGTCCATATGGTATAGGCCCGTAGTACCTGGAGTCTGTAGAATTCTGTAAGTTATCACCTTCTAACCAAACATGACCTGTTGGCACCTGGGATTAGTAAAGACAAGCAGGTCCTTTTAGAAACAAGAAAACCTCCACAGAAGACTGCCAGTAAAAATATGTCTCTTAAGGGCCAGCCTTATAGTACTTACCTAGAATCCCCACACTCAGGAGACTGAAGTGGGGGATCATGAAATAAAAGCCAGCCTGGCTACACAAACACTGTAAGAAAGAAAGACTTCATTTGGACAGAGCATATGTCCTAAAGTCTTCCTTTATTCGTGTCATAAGAATGGCTACTTTTTGTTTTCATTTCTTACTAAATAACTAACTAAATATCAAAGGGTTTCACATTTTTAAAAGATCTCTTTATTATACAGTTCCCAAACATTAATTTGTCAAAACCCCAAACTAAGGTTGTAAGAAATCAAAACACTGTGGCAGTGTCATTAATTTAATAGACTTCAAAAGAGGTCATTAGGCTGCTGACTGAAAATGTGCCCTCTTGTTGTAATAACAGCCTAAGCAGAGCAGCCAGTCAGCAACATCCTGGGGCCAGTTCTAAGGCCAGACCTATTAGAACACTCATGATGAACTAAGTGGTAATGGATTGTGACATCAATTACGGATAATCTCATCATTTTATTGCAGTGGGCTTGTCAGAGTTCTAATTAAGACCCCTGTCCTGCCTTTGTACAGGCCATATCGTCATTGCCTTATATGTTGATAATGACCATCAAGAACCAGAAGGACCTATTATAAAACCATCAGTTGCAAATTAATGACAGTGACCTTCTACTAGATGAAAAGAAAAATCCTCTGTATTAACTGGTTAAAAGTTTTAAGTGTTTACTCAATTGCAATCCCTTTAGGAAGGTGATAGTTTTCAAAAAATGAATTCCTCTTATATGAGACAATCCCCCCATCCAATATAAACTTAGAAGGTACTTTCTGGCAGCAATCTGTACATTATCTTTTTATGTTTTTATTTTACAGTTTTTGTGATGCAGGAAAAGTTGGTTCATTGACCAGACCAAAACAATCTATTGGGATCATTAAATTATTTTTGGCAAGGCTTAATAGGGCATACTATAATTTTACTGTTTTGTATTACAATTTTCTTTTTGTATAGTCTTACAGGCATTTAAATTTTAAGTTCATTTTCCTAAGATTATATTTCTGGGATAGATATCTTGATTAGAGGAACTAGTTTCGGGTGATAGAGCTGATAACATGTCTAGTGACTACCTATATCATAAACTGACAGAGAGGTAGGGAAGTATAAGGTGTTCAAATAGAAAAGCAAGTATATATTAAGTCATGTGCAAAATGAACACTGAAATCTGGAAAAGCCAAGTCTACCTATCATATTCTGAAGTTTCACTTCCAGAGAAGATGCATAATAAAGAACTCTTGTATTTATATTTCTATGTTTGTTGCTGGATCCTAAAATGAGTAAGGGACACCAGTAAGAACAAAAAAAAGCTGCTTTACAAATAGGGTAATAAACTAACAGTCTTGGGAGATTGCTACCAGATAAGGCCCCATGGCATTACATTCCAGCTTGCCTGCCTATGCCAAAAACTCTTTTTAAGTTTTTTGGGCACTAGTCATATTATACCAACCTTGCTTGGGGTACTTGATTAAAACAACATCCTACTTTCATGTTCTTTTTGTTGTTTTGAGACATTGTCTCATGTAGTCTGGCCTCAAACTGTAGCCAAGAGGATGGCCTTGAACTCCTAATTTTCCTGTTTCCATCTCCAGTTCTGGGATTGTAGGTATGCATCACCATGCCTGATTTTCTGTGGTGCTGGGGACTGAACCCAGGGATACTGTATTCTAGGCAATCACTCTACCAACTGACCTACCTCTCCAGACTGCTTTTGTGTATCTCTTTTTACTGTTTTTATGGCAAAATAAACAAGTAGATATTAATGCTATGATTTTATTTTTTATTACTTTGTATTACCATTGTCATTAAACTTTTGGTAAACCAATGGTAAGAAATAGTACTTCTGTATTTTTATTTATTTTTGTCTTGGTTTCAAAATTGAGTTTGTGTGTGTGTGTGTGTGTGTGTGTGTGTGTGTGTGTGTGTGTGTGTGTATGCGTGCGTGTGTGTGTGTGTGTACATGCCAAGAAGTGCCTATGGAGGTTGAAAGATAACTTGAAAAAGTTAGTGCTCCTTTTCCACCTTGTAGATTCAAGAATTGAGCTCAGGTCATTGCATCAGGCTGGAGAAAATACCTTTACCTGCTGAGCCATCTCCACTCTGCAATTTTGAGTGAGGCCAAATCTCTTTTTATTTAGAAGACAATGTAAGGTCTAGGGATACAGCTTAGTGGCAGAGTTCTGTCTACCATATATGAGTCACTGCATTCATTCCCCAACACCTCCATCTTCCAAAAAACAAGCCAAGCAAACAAAAAAATCCAAAACCTGCTTCACTATGTCACTGCTACTACTACAGTGTTTTACTACATCGCTTTGGTTTAACTGGCAAAAGGTTAGTCTCTACATTTGTTTTCTGAATATATTCCATTAAGGTCAGCAGAGTGTTTGCACCTGCTTTGCATACAATGGTCCTTATAATCTCAACTTTCCTATCAACCTCCAAGTGGTTCTTATGTAATATAATATAGACTTTCTATAAAGTGGGCAATACTCTCTCACAACCTATTTGTATTTTTTATATTATGTTTGACATGATTATGGAATTTATACATTAAATATTTACCTTTTACCTGTGTGTTACTTCTTATTTTCTTTATTTTATAAACAAGAATTCAATTTCATATAGCACCTCAACCAGAATGGGACCTCAAGTATTTGTTAGACATAAGTATTTGTAAGTAGACCTTCCATTCAAGCAGAATGACCTACTCTTGTCCTAGTTATGACATGTTTATTTGGAAATAGACAAAATGAAGTATATGAGATAATAAACTTTACAATTACAGAAAACAGTCTTCTAAAAGAAACACAGAGGGCTGGAGATAATTTCTCAGAGGTTAAGAGCTGCACTGGCAGAGCACCCAGTTTTGATTCCTAGCACCCACATAGCTGGGGATCCAATGCCCTCTTCTGGCTTCCTTGAGCACCAGGCACGCACATGATGCATAGACATACATGCAGGCAAAACACTCATACACAACATAGTAGGAAAAAACTTAGTTAAAAAAAGAAAAAGGAAACCCAGAATATGTAACAGGAATAAAAACCCAAAGGCATACGTTGGGTTCAAGCTGAAGATCAGAAAAGCAAAGCAGCCAGTCAGTAGCTCTTACCTCTACCAAGGCTGAAATGGAGATCCTGTCTTCCCTGTGATTGGAAACTGAATCTCACATGAGACCCTTTGCTTCTTCCTTATATTCCTCTCTAGTGCTGGGAATAAAGGCATGAGCTGTTTCTCTATTATAGTGATTCACGCTCATATAGCCTCAGGGTGCTCTTGAACTCACGGAGATCCATCTGCCTCTGTCTCCTGAGCCCTGGGATTAAAGGTGTGCACCACCACTGCCTGGCATCATGGTTAACTAGTGTGGCTAGCTTTGCATTCTGATCCCCAGGCAAGCTTTATTAAATCTTAAATAATATATCACCACAAGAACATAGCTCCAGAAGCTTTTGGAAGGACGTGACCAGGGCTCACAAGCAGTGCCATAAAAGAGGACTTAAAAAAATAATGTATTACTTCATGTGACCTTTAGAATAACTTATAACTAGGGCTAGAAAAGATTCTAATAAACAATGTTTCACAAATTCTGAATTTCATTTGCTTGTTTGTGTTGTTTCTCATGAGAGACTGTTCTAAGTCTGCCATGCTTACTTCCTGAGCTGTGATAAATGCTAATCTCAGGGCTGGGAAAGAGGATCCAGCCTGCAGTTCTCAGCTACACTCACTGAAGTCTCCTTTTTAGGACAAGCAACAAATGTAATTGCCTCCTGGTCTGCGGGTGTCCATTTATCCCAGGCAGCTTTGCAAGGCAAGCCACAGGTGGTACCTTTCTGGATTCAAGTGAGAGCTTAAAAATATCAAATGACACATCTACTAAATTGTAGTCACTCATTTATTTGATTAAGCAAAGAAGACTAATTTAAAAATTTTTTGACTAAAAAGTAAGATATTGTATGTTGATTTTCTAAGTGTTTCAAGAACAAAAACTCCTAAGACATGTTTCTTTCTTTTAAGTAAACTTACTACAGATCTTAAGGTTTACAAGTAATGGCATAGTTATGCATTGGCCCTGTCTATGGCTAATGGCTCTTCTAATCAGTGCATTAAAAAATGAAGGCAGATGAGGGCCATCCTTTAGGAATTTGTTCTTCCTGTGATATTCAGGAAACACACTCTATGAAAGCATTCAAATTAGACCTTTTTGTATCTTTTTAGCAAAAGGAAATCAGAGTGACACAGCAAGGGCACTTTAGTCTCATTTGAAGCAAGTATTTTTAAATATACATTTTGTATCTAAGGAAATATAACACTTAATTCCTTCTAGGAAAAAAAGGCTCCACATAACAAATGTGCACTTGTAAGATGCCTTTAATTCTAACAATTATCAACTATATAATTTTTATGTTATTGTCTTTGAGGTAAACAATGTGGAGTCAAATATCTATCTCATATCGCTGTGTAACCAAACTGTATTCTGCTGCTTAATTGTGACTTACACATGAAAAATGCAGCCATAGTAAGGCCTTCTATACAGAAACAAAGTGATTTACTAATCAGACTATTCCAGCTGGGCATGGTAGTCACTACCTCCTGGCACATTGGAGGATGAGAAAGGATTGCCACATGTTCTAAGTTAGCCTAAGGTCACAAACTGAGTTCCAGGCCACTGACCTACTGTGAGGAACTGTCTCAAGAACTAAAATTCAAAACCAGCAACAATTAATGTAATACGTGGCATTTCAGAATTAGGAGACTACAGCAATAAGTACTAAATAGTGAGTTTCTTGTCCTTTCAGAAAAAATAGATGGTTGGCAAATCAGATACGTACTGTAAAAAACATATATGCAAATATTTTAGGTGCTTTTTGGTGGTATATAAGGTGAGACAGAGTCTCTCTAGACACCCTGGCTGGCCTGGAACTATGTATATCAGGCTGGCCTCAAACTAGGTATGTACCACCACACCCAGGAGCTGTATTCTTAAAAAAAAAAAAAGAAAGAAAGAAAAAGAAAAGAATTTTTTTAGATTTATTTGTGTTTTGTCTTCATGTATGTATGTGTATTACATGTGTACATGGTGCTGTAGAATTCAGAAGATGGCACTGTATTTCCTGGAAATGGTGTTACAGATGGTTGTAAACTACCATGTAGGTACCAGCAATTGAACCCAGGTCCTTTGTAAGAGCAGCCAGGGCTCTTAACTGCTGAGTCATTTCTACTTAGTTGTTGTCTTGTCATTTTACCTAATTCTTTCGGTATGAATTTATTATTACAGATGAATTTTTGTTACTCTTTTCAGGCTTCTATTGTACCTGAATAGGCATAACTGTTTCATGGGATGATTTGGGTAGGGAACCAATTTATATCTGAAACTGAAGGCCACCAGTAGTTAAAAGTCTATTCTCTAAAAGTGGAAATGATTAAAAGTAAATATGTGGGACTGCTGTATTAATATGCATTGTTTACAAAGGCATTTTGCATGCTTGTTTTTGATAGACACTCCCACTTGTGTCTTATTCATCAAAGCACAACTCTAATAAATCCTTCAAACTACTTAGAAAGTTCTGTGAATACAAAATTACAAATTATGGAAATTATGGGAACAAATGACTGAATGACATTTTAGCCCATATTAGCCTCAGACTGACATCATTTCTGCCTTACATTCCCAAGAGCTGGAATTATATCTTATGCCATCACACCTAACTCAGATAATTTTTTTTTTTTTTTTTTTTTTTTTTGGTTTTTCAAGACAGGGCTTCCCTGTAGGTTTTGAAGACTGTCCTGGAACTCTCTTTGAAGACTAGGCTGGCCTTGAACTCACAGAGATCCATCTGCTTCTGCCTCCCGAGTACTGGAATTAAAGGCATGTCCCACCACCACCCGGCTATATTTTAAAAGTAAAATTATATCACTTCCTCCTTCCCTTTCTTCTCTTCTTATCCCTTTCAAATTGATAGGCTTTTAAAATTATTGTTAGCCGGGTGGTGGTGGCGCACGCCTTTAATCCCAGCACTCGGGAGGCAGAGGCAGGCGGATCTCTGTGAGTTCGAGGCCGGGCTGGACCGACAGCCTCCAAAACAATACAGACCCTGTCTCGTAAAACCAAAAAAAAAAAAAAAATTATTGTTACACATATGAAGATGTACAAATATATAAAATCTGTATTTTTTGTGTTTGTTTGTATATGATTTCAGGGATGACCACTTTATATTAGTAGGTAATCGATCAAGGGGAGCATCTTTGGGCTAGTTGTCCTCTCTCATAAGTCATTAGTTGCCTATAGTTTTTTGTCTAGGCATCCTAGAATGTCCACATTGGAAAATCCTTATGAGATTTTCTTTCCCCTTTCCACATTAACAAGTCTTTTGATACTGTCACTGTTTAGATCTTGTTTACGAAACCAACCATTTCTAGGAGACACAGTCTCATAGCAGACTTCCTGGTCTTCTGGCTCTTATCCTCTTTCTGCCCCCTCTTCTTCGATGTTCCCCAAGCCTCAGAATAAAGGAGGTGTGTTGTAGATTTATCTGGTGAGGTTTTGCTCCCTATGATCCCTTGATCTCCGTCTATCTAGTTGTTTTTCTTTTTCTGTAATGGCTCCATCTGCTGTAAAGAGAAGTTTCTTCAATAAGGAGTGGTAGCTACAGTTCTCTGTAGGCATAAGGATAAGTTAGAATGTAGTTAGGAGTCTATGCTGGCTAGTAGAGTGGCAGTAGTAGGTTCTCATCTAAGAGCCACAACCTTATTAGGCCAGGTAGTTGGCTAGATTTCCAATACCAGGAATGATCCCCACCTGCTGAGTGGGCCTGACGTCTGATTAGACAGCTGTTGGTTCCTGGCAACATGAGTGCCAGGAGACATATTTTATGATGATGCATAAAACAGAGTACACTGATGAAGGTCTTTAAAAACTAACGTGACGCCCAGGATTGAAAGCATTAAAATACTGTATGAACTTCATGTCATGTTTTTCAATAACTCACTAAGTCTAATGTGTTTTTCCATATCTGCATAGATTTGGAGCATCCACTAAACAATAGGACCTCAAGTGGCCATACTTTCACAAAATAATTATTATCCTTTACCCAGCAGCTGCCAACTGCTAATAACTCCTCAGTATGGAGTGGGGCTGGAGACCCCACCTATGCTAGGAGTTTGGCTGGCATGTGCACAGGTCTTATGAAGATAACCACAGAGGCTTTAAGTTGAGTACAGCAGTCAGGCTATGCCAAAGATAGCATTTCACAACATTCCTCCCCATCTTCTGGCCTACATTCTTTTCCTATCCTTGGAGTTTTAATAAGTTCTTAAGTTTATACAAAATCTATATATCTTCTCTAATTCTCAAGTTAGCCTCTTCTTCCATAGCACCATTTAACCCTTTGCTAATAAAGCTAATAACTTGGATATATTTTAAAGTCCTTCGGTTTTTTTTTTTTTTTTGGTTTTTACGAGACAGGGTTTCTCTGTATTGTTTTGGAGGCTATCGGTCCAGCCCAGCCTCGAACTCACAGAGATCCGCCTGCCTCTGCCTCCCGAGTGCTGGGATTAAAGGCGTGCGC